AATGAATTGGATACAGGTGTGTCCTGCTTTAGAAATTATTGTCTGGATCTTCATTGTCCCCATCAACCGACAGTGAGCATATTATCTTAAGCACCTGTTAGTCATTTCAACTCCATGTGATAAGAAGGACGTTAAAAAAGAGTTTAGGGCTGACTCTCTGGTATAGCAGTAATAGGAAACTTAAGAAAAGTCAGATCTTGTGTCAGTCAGTGATGTGGTGGTGAAGGAAGCTGGATCTCATATGGTCAACTTCGTGGTTCAAGTTCCAGACCTGGAGGCTTAAGAAACACACCAGGCACATGTGTGTGCATGCTCAAAATCCCAAGAGAAGAATGGAGGAGGAGGGACTGCAGCCATGGTCATCCTTCTTGGAGGGTGTTTTCTTACTTTCTCTCTGCTTTTCTCTAGTAAGAGCATGTGCCCACAGCAAATAAGAAGAAAAAAGCCAGATCTCACACTGCAACTGTAATTCGAATCCCTGGTTCAGTTAGCCTGAAACATGGCAGGCATGTGCGGAAGTGTCCAAGATCCAATGGGCGGGAGGACTGGAAGAAGCGGGTCATGGTATAACCAGACTCAGTGGAGGGCGCTCCTCTTTCTCTCTTGCTGTCATGTACATGCACATGCACTCTCTCATGAATAAAGAGAGGGATAAAAGTCCAGAATTTTAGGGTAATCTTCCAAAATGTACATTCTCATGTATTTGCCTGAGCATGCAAATTCCCTCTGCAGCTCTGATATCTTTAATACTTGAACATGGAATCTGTTCTGAGAGGTCTTCACAGTTCTCAGTCTCGGGAACTATGTTGCTGACATCCTAGATGATATGTCCTTGACTGCTGGGCTCCTTAGCTCCCTTCTGAGTCAGGTGCTGTTTTTGTGCTGAGATCTTATTGATCCTTCTGGAATGTAGCTTCCTTCCTTTACAGGCATTTAGATCTGCTGGCTCTGGTTTTGGCACCTGACCTGAATGGCACTATCCCTTACATTTGCAAGATCCAAAAAGTGGAACTAATCTATAGTAATGTAAAAGCAAATAGACTACAACAGATGTGTAGTGCAGGAGTAGGGGGCATCCATCACTAATAGCACTGATATCAAGCTATATTGAGAATTTTCGTTTTGGTGTACCACTGATACTGGGTAATTTTGCCTCATTTACTTTGCCTCAGCGTGTGTCTTCATGACAATGACTTGTATAATACTCAATATCCCGGTCTGTCCATGGTGGACAAAGATTCTTGCCTTGACCATAGATAATTACAACCTTCTGGGGTTAGGCACAATGGAGAAAGGAAGGAAAATGAGCAAATAAGAGGAAAAACAAAGTCAGGAAGTCTCCTGGTAGTAGGCATAGAGGCTTCTGAAAGTCTCCCAGTAGACTCTGCGTTTCCTGGAGCCCACTGCTTCTGATAACCCTGAATAGTGGGGTTTGGCTGTGTACTGGGCTATCAGAACACATGTAAATGGTGGGTAACTCTCTAGAAAGGAAATTACATAGTCTAGGAAACCTGGATCAGGACTAGAAGGCCTATAACTCCAGAGGCACTAAGAGCTGAGAACTCAAAAGTATCCAAAAGTCAAACAAGGAGGCACATTTTTCCAGAAAAATGGGTGGTATAAGAATTAGCAATAGAGGGGGACCAACAGTTGGCATAATGGCTACATCGCTGGACTCCCATGAAGTCGACTACAGTTCGAGTTCTGGACCCAGTGGCTCAAACTCACACCAGGCATGTGTGCGTGTATGCCCAAGATCCCGAAAGGAGACTAGAGGAGAAGAGATTGTGGTGTGGCCATCCCCCCAGAGAGGTGATTCTCACTTTCTGTCTCTCTGTTTCTCTCTGTCTTTCTGACGAGCACATGCCCTATAGCAAAAACCTCTCAAAAAAAAAAAAAAAAAGTATTAGCAATAGGGAATAGGGACAGACCTGTGGCCTGTTGGGGCCTGGATCCCACATTGCTGACCAGACAGTTTGAATCTTAGCCCCAGTGGCTTGAAAAAAGTGCTGGGCATGTTTGCATGCCCCAAATCCTGACAAGCTGGAGAAATGGAGGAGAAGGGAAAGCAATGTGATCATGCCTCATTGGGTGCTTTCTTTCTCTGCTGTCTGTCTCTGGCTAATGCACATAGCCTCTGGCAAATTAAAAAAAAAAAAAAGACTCAGCAACAGGTTTTGGAGAAAGGCTAACTGTCCCATCTGTTCAACTAAATGTTCTGTCAACAAAACTGTCTTTAAGTACAAGTTGGGGACAAGGGAGAAAGAACACTAAAATGTTAATATAATTCCAGCCCATACTTTTTTTTTTTTTGGAGACTTTTTGCTATAGGGCGCATGTGCTCGCTAGACAGACAGAGAGAAACAAAGAGACAGAAAGTGAGAAATCACTCCCCAGGGGGGATGGCCATGTCGCAATCCCTTCTCCTCCATTCTCCTCTCGGGATCTTGGGCACACATGCACATGCGCCTGGCGTGAGTTCAAGCCACCGGGTCCAGGACTCGAACCGCGGTCGACTACATGGGAGTCCAGCGACATAGCCATTACGCTAACTGCTGGTCCCAATACTTTTTTTAAAAAAACAGTTTCATGGGAGGAGACTGTATTGTAGAAGAGTCTAGAATAAATTCTTCAATATAAATTATATTCACCTTAGTGAACAATGGTATGGGGACAAGTGAGTGATGCCTTAAACAACTTTAGAAGGTATTCTTCCCCCACCCCACCCCTATTCACCTCTTTCTCTGTATTTTTCCATTTTATTTTTGTTTCATCCTTTATTTCTTGTTCAACTTTCTTTGGTGAGTCATCAGAATGGCATGACAGTTCCATTCACTAGAACCTAAACCCAGCATGTTGTGGGCCTCGGCGTTCTTATCTAATATCCTGCTGGAGATGGATAAGATGTGAGCTCCAGACCTACTTACCCATACATGTATTCCCTTCCATAGCAAGGATTCAGCTCTTCTCAACTGAACTTTTGCTATCGTTATTAAACACTCATGAGAACCCTGTTAACTATAATGACCATAATAAGCAGGCTATGTGCCCAGTCCATTTAGGGAGAGAAATCTACATACTCCTCCCATGACTCTATGTGGCAGATACTATCACAGCCACAGTTACAGATACAGATAACTGAGGGGTCCCCTGTAGACTGGACTCAAGAATGCGGGAGCTGTTGCGGCGCCTTTCAGCGGGGCGAGCACACCAAGATACCTACTCGGGTATGTCTTTCAGAAGCTTTGAGCTGGGGTTCATGTCCACTGGACAGAGAGAAGAGGAACTTGTAGGAGTTGCAAAGGTCTGAAGAAGATCTGTTAGTTCCTTTGGAGTTCTTATGTGCGTCCTTGAAAGGGATGGTGTCCTTCTCTCCCTGCCTCTAAAGAAAGTGGCTGGGAGCCAGGAAGGTGGTGACCCCCTCCCCATTTCCGAATTCAGACCCAAAAAACCTCAGCCAATACTTTGAATTTGAGCCAGAAAGTTATGGTAGAGAATTCCACAACTATGAAATGGCTAAAATCTCTAATACTTCATAACGAAGGCAGTATTCTTTCTGTGAAATCATTCCTTCTGTCTGAATAAACTTGGGAGCCCTTGCAGGGCTGGCCTTATGGCACAGCAGTAATGCGTTGTTCAAAAGAAACAGTTTGAATCCCCATATGGCTGGCCCGAAACATGCCAGGTAGGTGTGCAAAAGCCCAGGATCTGATGGGCTGGAGGACTGGAGGAATGGATTATGGCATGACTATGTCCTATGGAGGGTGCTCCTCCCATTCTCTCTCTTACTCTCACATGTACAAACAGTTGTTTTAAGAATCCCCTGATGTTGTGGAGCATTTAAAAAAATAATTTATTTATTTATTTATTTTAATTTGACCAGAGAGAGAGGGACAAAGAGAGACAGAAAGTGAGAAATGAGCAGCTAGGTCTGGGACTTAAACCGTGGTCAGCCATGTGGGAGTCCAGCACCATTAGCTGCCATGCCGCTTGTCGGCCCTGTGGAGCAGTTTTTGTTCTGCCTTCTCTGGTAAGTTTCCTTAGTACAGCACTACAGGACAGGAGCTATGTAGTCACAAGATTTCACCCAGCTTTGCAGTAAAGGTCAGCTTCCCAGAACTGGGATTGTTAGTGTGTTGGTAGAGCTGTAATCCAAGCTGTTAGGAGACCCAGGTCACATGGCCTTAACTGTGTCAGCTTTATAAATTGCCAGTTAAATCAGATTAGTTGGTTGAAGAAAATTGAGATGCCTTTAGAGAATGGGGGAAGGTTGGGAAGTGAGGGTCAGGTGGAGGGCTTCAGGTACTTGTGCATAGTCACAGTTCTAGCACAGCCCATATCACTTTCTTTATGACTGGCCCACCTGAAGCAGTGTGATGATTTGACAGGTAAGAAAAAATACTTAAGAAATACTGCTCTAATCCTTTCAGTATGTAATAACTATGGAGTCCTGCTAGTGAAGCAGCTCGGGAAACAGAACACACATAAGTTAGGTTTTCAATCTATGTTGCCTGTCCTGTCCCCGGACATTCTGAGGTATGGACATTCACTTAACCTGTACCTTGCTCAGGCTGCATGTGCACAATTCTGTTACGTACTTGTGCTAGAAAGCACATAGATGCTTGATGGGGTCAGACAGATGCAGGAGAAAATTCTAGTCACTACCTATTTGATTTTGGGCAAATGACTTTGTAGACTTTATTTTCATCTGAAAATTGGGGATAATACAATGTACCTCTTGGGTGTATTATGAGGACTATTTAAAAGGAACAACATTTGTAAAACATTTAGGAAAACATCTGATACACATGCGATCTGCATGTTTGGGACTCATATTACTATTAACGTGGTATTAGTGCAGATGCAAACAAGATAACATTCCTTTTCTAACAAAGATCATTTTGAAGCATATAGTACTAATTTCCTTTCGTGGAAATTTACTTCATTCAATCCAAAGAAAGAGAGAAACAAGATTCTCCATAGGCAATATTTTGTCTCACCTTTCTTGCTTCATTGGTGATTTGGAACTGGGTGCTGTCTTTTCCTATTGTGACCGAGTCTAGTAATGCCCGATAGGTGGAATTCTTGGAGAGCAGCTGTTTCTGTCGCCTGCAGTTATGAAGGATACAGATGCTTGAGAATTGTTTGTAACCACCAGCACACAATAGGCTATCTTATCATGCGGTTATTAAAGTTGTTAAATTTCACTATGGTATTAGGTGAAATAGGCACAAACAGCATTAATACTCTAATAAAGTATTAATAAGAATACTATATTATTATTTTTTTTTCGGAGAGATTTTTGCTATAGGGCGCGTGCGCTTGCCAGACAGACAGAGACAAAGAGACAGAAAGCAGGAAATCACCCCCCAGGGGGGATGGCCACGCCACAATCCCTTCTCCTCCATTCTCCTCTCGGGATCTTGGGCACGCACGCACACGCGCCCGGCGTGAGTTTAAGCCACCGGGTCCGGGACTCGAACCGCAGTCGACTACGTGGGAGTCCAGCGACATAGCCATTACGCTAACTGCTGGTCCCAGAATACTATATTATTATTTTTAAATACTGTATTATTAAAGTGCTAATAAAACTAGTACTAATAAAAATACTAATAAAATTAGTTAACAAAGCACTGTTCAAGGATGACATCTTGCCTCCTTTATAGAGAAGGTGGGGCAATTTTCATAAATGAAATTTATGAGCTTGCAACTTCTCTTCCTGTGAAATGGACACTTTAATAGTAATTCAATAAATTCTCCTGCAAATCCAGTATAACATAGTGGTTTAATAGGTGACCAGGTGGGACCAGCAGGTGGCATGGTGGTTAAGGCACTGGACACTCCCACATGGCTAACCATGGTTCGAGTCCTGGGCCTGGTGGCTTGATTTCCCACTTTCCTTCTCTCTGTGTCTCTGTCTATGGTTAAATTAAAAAATAAAAAAAAAAAAATAAATAAAATTAAATAATTATTTTAAAAATAGGTGACCAGGCATTCACAACAGATTTCTTTCTAGGTACCCTTTTAGAATTAAAAATTTATGCTTTATTGCCTCTAAAATGGAGATTGAATAAACTAGAAAATTACAATGTTTGATACAATTTTTTTGATAATTTCATTTATCTAAAGTTAGATATCCTCCAAAATGAAGATTTTAAAATACTGTAAAAGACATTTTTTTGAGGCTCTTGGGAATCAGACACTCTTATACAGTGGTGCCAGGAGTACAAAATGGTATGATCCCTATGGAGGGAAATCTAGTAATGGTTAACATATTTCAAATGCATTTACTCTTTGACCCAGTAATTGCTTCTTGGAAATCTATCCTACAAATAAACCTGCGTGTGTAGGAAATGACACACACACACATCCATATATCTTCATTATGGTAGTGCAAGTATAGTAAAATATTAAAAACAAACCAAGAATCAAGAAATAGAAGATATACAAATAATTATAGCACATGTATAGAACACTATGCAGCTATAAAATGAAAGGACAATTTCCATGTACTCATAAGCATTGCTCTTCAGAATAAAAACTGTAAAGTGCAGACAGAAAGTGGTATACAATAGAGTATAGAGAAAATCTATTTGGTGTAAGAAAGGGGGTGATAAAAAAGAATATATCTATTTACCAAAAAAAAATACTGAAAGGATAAAGAAGAAATGAATAGATCTGGTTACTTATAGAGACAAAATGGGAAATAGGATGGAAAAGGATGGGGTGGGAGCAATGCTTTCTAATACATACCATTTTATATTATTTTTGAACCATGTAAAAGTATTATCTATTCAGATATAAAATTTAAAAACATGTTGGCTTTAAAAATAAAATATCCATTTACTGAAACGTTCAAGTATTATAGTATTAAGTTTATAAAGTAAGTTAAAATATTATAATATTAAGTTTATAAAGTTAAAGTAAAAAGGTGAAAAATTCCTTAATCATTAAATTCCCCAATTTATGCATTCCTTAGAAATAAGCATCATTTTTTAAAAAGAATTATTTTATTTGAACTTTATCTATCTATCTATTTATTTATTTACTTATTTTCATTTGACCAGAGAGGGACAGAGTGAGAGCAAGAAAGAGAGAGAGGGAAAGTGAGAAAGCAAGCCACCAGGTCTGGGACTTGAACCACAGCTGGCCATGTAGGAGTCCAGTGCCCTTAACCACCACACCACCTGCCAGCCCCTAGAAATAAGCATCAATTTTAAAACAGTGTCAGAAATGTTTTGATGAAGGTAATATATTTATTTCCTTTACCTGTAGAAAGCAATCTTGCTGCAGTCTCTGAAAATGTTTCTATCCACAGCTTCATCTTCAACACTAAATAAAAATATGTTTTAAGAAACTTATTTTATACAGGGTTTATCAATTTCTGTACTTTCTCTAACTATAGTATGAACATACAAAATAAAATAAACCTTTGGAGTCTATTCTAAAATGTAAATTTGTGTCATGGCCAAAATATAACATAATAGCACATGTGTTGCAAAACAATATCCTTTGTAAACATCCCATGGAAACAACAACAACAAAATAAACTAAGTTCTGGGATTACTCTGACAGCAAGGAAAAAGATCCCTGTCACTTATGAAGAAGGATTCTTTTAAAAGAATAATTGATGGGGGCCAGCAAGTGGCATGGTGGTTACAACACTGGACTCTCACGTGGCTGATCACGGTTGAATCCAGTGGCTTGAAACTCACACAGGGTATGTGTGCATGCATGCCCCAAATCCCAGGAGACCGAAGAAGGGATTGCAGCATGGTCATCCTCTCTTGGGGGTGATTTCTCACTTTCCCTCTCCTCTCTGGCAAATGTACCTGACCTATGGCAAAAACCTTAAAAAATAAATTATTTAAAAAATAATAAATGATGGCTCTGACTACAACTATAAAAGTTGATGGAGAAAACAAGCAAACCCCCACTCAAAGCAAACATACACACACACACACACACACACACACACAAAACCAATAAAACCCACCCATCTATTCATTCAACAAAATATTTTCAAAATATTCTCATTCTGTGCCAGGCTCTAAGGAAGATATGAAGGACTATGTCTAGGCTTTCTGCAAGAGCCTAACCAGCAATCACAATACAAGTGAACAAATGCTACAGTAGAGGTGCAGGTAGCTAGGGTAAGAACAGAAATAGATGTAGAAGAAAAATCTTTTGCTTTTAAAGATGAGGCTGATAATCTAGGTGGCCACTTTTTAAAAAAGAATTGGGACCAGCAGTTAGTGTAATGGCTATGTCGGTGGACTCCCATGTGGTCGACCGTGGTTCATGTTCCAGACCCGGTGGCTTAAAACCCACGCCGGGCGTGTGTACGTGCATGCCCAAGATCCCAATAGGAGATTGGAGGAGAAGGGATTGCGGCATGACCATCGAGAGAGAGAGAGAGAGAAAGAGAGAGAGTGCAAGCGAGAGAGCAAGCCACCAGGTTTGGGACGCAAACCACAGTCAGCCACATGGGAGTCCAGCACCTCAACCACAACGCCACCTGCCAGTGCCAGAGTCACTGTTTTTTAAAACCAAGTTTCCAGAAAAGTGTGTGTGTGTGTGTATATGTATATATATATATATATATATATATATATATATATGTATTACCCTCCATCTGACTAAAAGGACCATAGGTTATAAGAAAAACAAAACACATTAGCTTTCATGCAGAGATTTCGTTGACTACATTTGTAGCTAGCATGTTCATGATTTGTAGGAAGTGATGACTGAACACAAATTTTGAAATACAGATATACTTGGCCAGGCTAAAAAAAAACTTTTTGACATTGAACTCTGTCTTTGTCACTGTTTCTTTTAATCAAGTGTGCAAAGATTAGAGAAACTTTCTATCTCCTTTTGTCAGCTTTGAAGAATAAATTTTGTAACAATAGGATGAGGTGGATACAAAATGAACTTGGAAAGTAACCTGCTTGAAATTCATGTAGTATAGTTCTGACAGCAACTTTTCCACTGTTACCTACCCATTCTGAAGGTATTTTATGAGGGATTAAGTTTTATTTTCAATTAACTCCCTGCTCAATGGAGAGAAATGATAAAAATTAAGTGCACAAATACCAAACATTCAAATGATAAACTCAATCAAAGTATCAAGTAAACCTTCAAAGCCAGAATATTGTTTTCTGGTCCTTTCAGGTACCATTCTCTGCTACCATGGGGCCCTAGTGTCCACCCCTGCGAAAGCACTGGGCCTTTACCTGATTTCCTCTTTCTCAGCGGCTTCCATGGCTTGTCTCTTACTCCCACTGGCTTCCAACTCTCAGGTTAAAACCCCAGGCGATTCTTTTAAAAATGCAGACTGGGATTGGGCGACTTTTCAAATTACACCAGCACTTCGCCACCTGCAAGTCTCTAGGAAATGGAGTCTCCTCCAGGTCCTTAAAGAGTGCCAAATCTTGACTCTTGCTCCCAGGGTTGTTCAGGCCCAAACTAGAGTTTCTACCGAGATTTGTTAATTTTTTCTTGATTATGGGTGGCTGATGAGGAACGTGCCTTAATTAAGAACCAAAACGGTCTCCGCAGTGGAGGGGGTGTGTGTACTCAAGGAGCGCTAGGGGATAAAAACCAGGAAGTGCCGAGCCAGCTTCGCTGAGTGGGGCGAAGCATCTGCAGTCCGTGGCAGTCACGGATATTCAAAACTGATCCGCTCCCTCCTGGTTTGTAGTTTTGAGTGCCGGCCGGACCTTTGCTAGAGGCTCATGCCTCAGGTCAAACTTTATGACAGCATCGTACTTCTCAGGGCAAGAAGGAGCCTTTGAAGGTTACCGATTACACTATTCAAACTAGGAATAGCATCTGCTCCACTACCGCCAAATTCCAGGCTTGGTTTAAACACCTCTCAAACCCGAGAACTCATTACTAGACGCCAAGCCCGCGGCCAGACTTGCGGTTTTCCTAGACTTCTGGCCCCGGCGTCGGACTTTTGACTTAGAAGGGATGAGGGACTGGGGAGAGAGCGAGAGCCAAACGCTGCGTGGGGTGCCCGCTGGCCCCCAAACCCTTTAAGGGCTAGGGAGAAGACGGAGGCCGGGGCGGCGTGGGGCGAGCACCCTACGGAGCGGACCAGGTAATGACAGAAGGACGCCTGCGCACTAGGTCAAAAACCTCCACGGGCCGTGACGACTGACCCAGGGAGGGGCAGCTGACTTGTCAAACAAACCCCGCGAGCTTTCCGGGACCCGGATAATCCCGCCCCCCGAAGCGGAGCCGGAAGAGGGCGGGACGAACCGGAAGAAGGCGAAATGCTTTAGGTAGGCACTCCATGTCTGTGAAGATGGCGCCGGCTGCGTGGCTTCAGGGGTTGCCTGTTCTTCTCCTTCTGGGGGCTCAGCCTTCCCCACTGTCACTGTTCAGTGCAGGACCTGCACCTGTGTCCGCTGCCGACCGATCCAAATGGCACATTCCGATACCGTCGGTGAGTGTTCACTTCAGCAGAGACTCAACTCGGAGGAGCAAGGGGGTGGGGCTACGGCGGCCCATGGGGTCCATGAAGGTTCCGCTGCGAGTCGCTTTCAGAGGCGTAGGGTTGTCCTGTGCCTCTGGGTCGCGGGCCAACTGGGACCCACCTCCCTAGGGCGGAAAGCCGCGCACTTCTGTGGGTAGCCTAGCGGGAGTGTCTGGACCACTTCGGCAGCGGGAGAGAGGTGGGGCGGATTCTCAACGGGAAAGTAACAACTTTTTCAGTGCCTAACTTGAGAGCGATGTGAACTTGATGTACAGAAGAGTTGGATTGTTAGCCTTTCAATTTAAGGTTCACAGAATCCAGTCTCCCTGGGTGCGATGAAAACTTTGTAAATAAAAGTCTTTATGTCTTTAATTTTTTTTTTCTGGACTTCGTTTATTTCTGGGTAATTCTACTTAGGTGATTTGATCTCATTTAAACTTTGAAATAGTTATTCTAAGCTTTGCTGTGTGATTAGGAAGCATAGAGATTTTTAAAAACGTATTCTAACATGAGAGTGGCTAAAATAGGAGAAATAGCCTTGGAAATTTAATGTGGTGAGGATCCTCTTTTGCACATTTAACTATTTAGATGGGTTGATCTTTTCTAACTTCTCTCCCCTTTCACAACTTCATTTGAGTAAGAGGTGTGTTCCCTGATCAGACAAAAAACAGATACAGGTGGGAAATGCTGAAAAGCTGGAGTGCTTTTAAAACCAAGTTGGCCTTTTTCCTTCTGCTCAGTGGGCTGATTGTAATGCCCAGATCTTATTCTTGGTTCTATATATCAAGTATTATGACTTCTAAAAAATTTGGTGAAGATCTTTAACTTCTCGATTTTAGGTTTTTACTTCTTGCTAAAATGATTAACATTCTCTTTAGATTTAAAAGTAAGCTTTGGCTGTCTGCTCACAGTTCATTTTTTAAAACCAGCTTTTTTGGGGGCAGTGATTAGTGAGGGAATAAAATTATTAAGAGTTATATCCCATAAAGATTTAAGTTGAGTTGGGATTTCTAGCAGCTTTCTTTTTGAGTCCTGGCTTTATGACTTTGTGGGGGAAATCTTGTCTCTGTACGTCCTGAATTTTAGTTATGATCAAGATTTACAAAAAGGATGGAAGTTAATGTCTTATTTTGGATAAGAAAACTAATTTGAACCTTTTCCAAATTTAGGTAGTTAAAGTCTGCCTTGGGAATTGAAGTGATCTGGTACCAATTATCTTTCCTTTACATTTGCAGGGGAAAAATTATTTTAGTTTTGGAAAGATCCTCTTCAGAAATACCACTATCATACTGAAATGTGAGTTCATGAATTTTGTTAAGTTTTTGAATTCCTAAAAGTTAAAGGTAAATTTTTACATGAACTATTTTCTCTCTCTAATAGTTTATTCACAACACATTTTTACATTCTGAAATTTACTAGTCTAGGTATTATACCAGGAGACTTCAAAAAGTTAATGAAAATACTTATTATAAAGAGAATCATGCATGAATTTCAAAATATTTTTTGCCCCAAGTCAACTGATGTCTTAATTGCATAGATTTTTTTTTTAAACTCTCCTCATCTATTCTATCAGACCTCAATTAAATTACATTTGATTATGTTGGTTAATTCCCTGCATGGTGTTTTAACCCGTTCTGAGTCGTAGAGATAGCACTGATTTTACTCTCCTGTGCTCCTTAGCTGTTAACCTGAAAATACCATCTATATTCCTCAGACCATTGCATCTGAACAAATATATGCAGTAGATCTTTTATTTACAAAAGGAGTATTTTACTACTTTGAAGAGGAAACTCAAACGTAGCATCAGGAAATAGGGATTATGTAGAACAAAACCGGTTTGTCTAGTGGGAACACCACTGTATCTGAATCTAAAACATCCCATTGTGTATTAAAGAAAAGCTTCCTCTTAGTTCTGAAACTGGCTTTATTTTAGAGAATAAATTATCTTTTGAGCTCAAGGATTAAAACTCAGGTCACCAATATGTGCTTCTATGCATATCTCTTATTATAAAATTTTAATTCATAGTTGGATAATTTTTATTCTTTTGTTTAGTAAGTGGTTGTTAAATACTGATGTGTTCTTTTAGAACCCTAGGAAAGGATGAAAAAATTCCTTTTCCTCCTTGAATTTACATTCTGTTAGGTGTAAAAGAAGCAGATACAACTTTGAAAAATACACAACTTTTAGGAATATACAATCTCCTAACTGATGACTTAAATTTGATTTAAATCTAACTTATTAGATTATGAGATTGATTTACTAAGTAAAAGTAGCTATAGGAATAGCAAGATTTTGTCTTGGAATAGCCTGGCATTCTGTTTGCTATTCTATCCCAATTTTATTATATACTATATTTTCCTCACCTATATTTTGATCTAATGGTGTTTTGCAAAGTTAAACAAGCTGTACTCTTTGTTTTTTAAAGGTTTTTGCCATAGAGTGTGTATGCTCGCTTGAGAAAAAGAGAGACAGTGACAGTGAGAGGGAAGGTGAGAAATCATCCCTCAGGGGGGATTGCCACACTTAGATCCCTAATCCTGGATTTTGGGCATGCACACCCAGACAGACACTCAGCATGATTTTCAAGCCAATAGGTCCAAGACTTGAACCGTGGTGGGCTAGCACCTTAAGTTAAGTCTAGCACCTTAACCACCATGTCACCTGCTGGTCCCTGAGCTGCATGTTTATTTTTTTTAAGTTTTTTTTCCATGAGCAAGAGAGAAACAGAGAAGATAGCATCCTTGACAGGGTCTTCAGGCCATGATTCACTGCAGTTTTTTCCAGTCCTGTATGATGGGCATGTGTACTCCTGAATATTCAGGGAGGTCCACAGACACGAACTTGGAATCTTCTCAGTGGGTCAACCTTATAGGGTGTTGTCTTTGCCACCTTCTGGCTCCTAGAAATTGAGATTTTAAGGCATATAAGTGACACCCACAGTTTTAGAAGGTTAAAAACGATTTAATTGCTACTTCTTTTCATAGGTAATAGTACTTTTATTTTTAATGTTTAATCATTGTACCTCTTTACAGCATACAATATGATTTTCAAAGCATACATGCATTGCATGTCAAATATATTATCAAACACATTATCCTAAACAGATAACTTTCCATTCTTGTGTGTGTTAAATGTCCTCCCCTGCCCCAGCCCCTGCTTCTCACCTTCTATTCTCCTTCATTTGGAGAGTTCTTTTTCCATATATTATTCCATTGCCTTATGTTTGGAGAGAGGATATGTCAGTTTAAGATAAAAAATAAATAGGATGTAGTTTAACAGGGTAAATGTTTTGTTTGGGAATAATTTCATAAAGACTTCTTTTATAGTTGATGGAGAATCTTGTGATGTATCTTTGAATATTACCTGGTTTCTGAAAAGTGCTGATTGTTACAATGAAATCTACAACTTCAAGGTAAGGAACATTGGATTACAGACTTTTCTTAGATTTTTAGATTACCTGGTCCCAACCTCTTAATAGAGGAAGGAGTATCTTATAACCGTGGAGAAGCTGAAACTAGAATTCATGCTTCCCAGTTGGCAGATCTACTGTTTCTGCTGTTCTCAAGCTTTTAGGTTCTCACTAATTATGTGGACTGCAAAAAACCCTTATCTCTCTGGATTACTCTATAGAAATTAAAACTGAGGAAATATGCAAGCATTAATTTATTTTAAAGTAGCAATAATAAACCTACTACATGGTAATAACTTTTTTGAAATTGCAATATAACTATTTTCCAAAACAACTTTTGGAAGAGTAGCATTGTTTTGCATTTTTGTGAGTCTAATATCTGATCTAACAGAAGATAGCTGGGTTTTTAATATCTCTTTTGTTACTCAGTCTGTTGCACTCCATTATTTTGGATCAAGAATATGTAGACAATCTGACATCATATGCTATGTAGTTGGAAAAGGGAATGGTATTTTAATGGTCTTTTCAGATTTTCTTTGATTTTATACCAAAACTCAACAAGTAAAGATTAAGATTTAATAACATTAATAAATTTTACTGTTTCACCAAGAACATTCTTACATAAAACTGGCTTTTTTGAAAATTTTGCTGAAGAGCACATGCAACCCCCCTTCTCTTCCATGTCTCCTTTTTCAATTTTGGGCATGCAGCACTTATGTTTTTTTGTTATTGTTGTTGTTTATTTAATTTTTTTTGAGAGGTTTTTGCTGTAGAGTGCGTGTGCTCTCCAGAAAGACAGAGAGACAGAAAGTGAGAAATCACCCCCCGGGAGGATGGCCACTCTGCAATCCCTTCTCCTCCATTCTCCTCTCGGGATCTTGAGCACACACACACATGTGCCAGACATGAGTTTAAGCCACCAGTCTGAGACTCGAATTGCGGTCTACTACATGGGAGTCCAGCAACATAGCTATTACGCCAACTGCTGGCCCTGCACTCATATTTTTTAAGCTCCCAGGTCCAAGACTTAACCATGCGGTCGACCATGTGGGATCCATACCTCAATCACCATGCCATGGTGGATTAACCTTATTTTTAAACTGCGAGATTGTGACTGTGACGAGTATGACTACTGGTTAGTTAAGTTCCACTGCCTTGGTTCCTGATAAGGGAGTGACAGTTTTACCCATTATTGCCTTTTTACTTTCAGTGCAAGGCAGATAGCATCCCATTATTATGAGAGCAGTTTTGATGTCTTAGACCTTGTGAAAGGGTTCATAGACCATGCTTTTGAAAATAGCTGTGGCACACAATAGTTGAGCACTGAGAATACATTGCTTCAAGGTAGATTTTTCAGGCTATTTCTATTTTGTTTCCATACCACTTCTCTTTGCACTTTGCATCATTTCACTTTTCTTTTTTTTCCCCAATATTTTCCTATCTTGAAGTTTCTATTTTTTCCTTTTTTTTTTTTCTTTCCAGTTAGAGGACACATGCACTTGTTAGAGAGAGACAGAGGGAGAGGAGAACGAACTCACCATGGCTGACCATGTGGTTTGAGTCCTGGACCCAGTGACCTAAGAAATACACTGGGCATGTATGTGTGCATGACCAAAAATCCTGAGAGAATGGAGGAGAGGGAACTGTGGTATGGCTACTCAAATGCCTTATAGCAAACTAAAATCAATTAATTAATTATAAAAAGATTGGAGTTGGCAGGTGGTATGGTGGTTGAGGTGCTGGACTCCCACATGGCCTTGGTAAAGTTCCTAACCTAGTGGCTTGCTTTCTCACTTTCCCTTTCTCTATCTCCTTCTGATCAAATTGAAGAAAATAATATTAATATAATTAAAAAATTAAAATAGTTCTTAAAATTAAAAAAAAAAGATTTTACATTATCTTTTTTTGAATTGTTGGTGAATGCTTTTTGCCTTTTTCTTTTTTTTAAAGAGATTTTTCCTGTTGGGTGTGTGTGCTCACCAGAGAGACAGAAAGTGAGAAATCACACCTCCCACTTGGGAGGATGACCCCATGCTGTAATCCCTTCTCTTCTCAGGATTTTGAGCATGCATGACGCATAGGTGCCTAGCATGAGTTTGAAGCTGCCGAGTGGGACTTGAACCATGGTCAACTGTGGGAGTCTAGTGATGTAACCATTATGCCTTCTGCTGGTCCCACATTGGATAGTATTTATTTATTTATTTTTAAGAGAGATTTTTGCTCTAGGGGGCATGCACTCACCAGAGACAAACAAAGAGACAGAGACAGGAAGCGAGAAATTCCCCTCTCCTCAATGGTAGATGGCCACGCTGCAATCCTTTCTCCTCTATTCTTCTCACGGGACCTTCGCCATGCATGCACACATGCCTGGAGTGAATTTCAAGCTTCCAGGTCCAAGACTTGAACTATGGTTGGCCATGTGGGAGTCCAGCGACATAACCTTTACACCATCTGCTGGTCCCTGGATAGTATTGATTTAACTGGAAAAAGTAAAGAATGAAGAATTTAGCAAGTGGTTATAATGTCTCCAGAATATGGTTTGAAATAGTATTGATCATTTTGTTTTAATTGATCACTAAATCAGTTTACAGTAGAATATTCATATTTGAAACTTGGGACAAACTGATCCAGAGCTTTGCAAATTCTATCTTCATACATAGTGTAAAGAATGAAGAATTTAGCAAGTGGTTATAATGTCTCCAGAATATGGTTTGAAATAGTATTGATTATTTTGTTTTAATTGATCACTAAATCAGTTTACAGTAGAATATTCATATTTGAAACTTGGGACAAACTGATCCAGAGCTTTGCAAATTCTATCTTCATACATAGTGTAAGTTAAGAATGTGAAATTTGGGACCAATAGATGGTGTAATGGTTACTTCACTGGACTCCCATGTAGTTGACTGCAGTTTAAGTTTCAGACTCAGCGGTTTAAAACTAACACTGGGTGTGTGTGTGTTTGCACAAAATCCTGAGAGGAGAATGAAGGGATTGAGGCGTGGTCATCCCCCTGAAGGGTGATTTCTCACTTTCTGTCTCTCTGTTGTTCTCTGACTCTGGCAAGTGCACACGCCCTATAGCAAAAATTTCTTACATAGAAAATGTAAAGTTTATTTTTGATTATTATAGGATAAAAATATGGAGATGATTGGACCAGGTGGTGACACAGTGGTAACACAACTGGACCTGAATGGGGAAGGTCCTGGGTTCATATCCTGGGACCTTCCTGAGCACACCAGTTGCATATGTGTGTCTATGTTCCAGGCCACTTGAGACTGAGGGTAGATTGTATTGTGAAGACCCTATTGGGGAAGCTGTCCCTCTGCCTCTGTCTCTCTCATGAAGTAAATAAATAAATAACCTAAAAAAAATATGGTGATGATAAGCGGATGGAGACAGGAGCTTAGAAAAAGAGAGGGCAGGATCAGAGACATGGGTATGGAAGAGAAATCACAATGATAGGGGAAGCCTCAGAAACGATCAGTTTTTGAGATTATTAGCAGTGGTCTATGAATGGTTATAACAGTTTTGTGCTCTTAGTTTGTGAGCCCAAGTATACCTTTTTGTTGATGTTAATTTGGTCACATAACATATGTTCATGTGTCAACCCTTTGGACTCTGGCAGCTGCTCTCCTAGAACTGTTAGAGGAACTACCTTTTGTAAACCAAAGACTAGAACGTCTATACTTTAGAGTCAGATAATGTTAGATTTTGGGGGCATATAGAATCCTTATTTACTGCTGTTAACTTTTTAATTTTATTTTTAGAATTATTTATTTTTTTATTTGTTATTGTTATGCTTTAATTCAACCAGAGAGATACAGAGAAAGAGAAAGGGAAAGTGAGAAAGCCAGGTCTGGCATTTGAATTGCACTTAGTCATGTGGGAAATTAGTGCCCCCAAACCACAATGCCCCAGTGCTGTTACTTATTTACTTTTAGAGATGTTTACCTTGAGGCATTTGTGCTTGCCAGAGAGAGGCAGAGACAAAGACAGTAAGAAGGAAAATGAGAAATCACTGCCCAGGGGAATGGCCATGCTGCAATACTCTCTCCATTCTCCTACCAGGATCATGGTCACACATGCACACATGGCTGGTATAATTTTCAAGCCACCGGGTCTGAGACTCAAACCATGGTCGCTATGTGGGAATCCAAGGACATAACTGCTATGCCATCTGATGGCCCGCCAATGCTGTTAATTTTTAAAATAGCAAACCCATGGGACCAGCAGTTGGCGTAATGGCTATGTTGCTGGACTCCCATGTAGTCGACTGCAGTTCTAGTCCCAGACCCGGTGGCTTAAATTCACACCGGCCCCGTGTGCGTGCGTGCCCAAGATCCCAAGAAGAGTATGGAGGAGAAGGATTGCGACATGGCCATCCGCCCCAGGGGGGTGATTTCTCGCTTTCTGTTTCTCTGTCTCTCTCTGTTTCTGGTGAGCACACGTGCCCTATAGCAAAAACCTCTCCAAAAAATAAATTAAATAAATAAATAAAATAGCAAACCCAAAATCTTATTTGTACTGCGTGTGATCTATTTCTCGTCTTCCAAGTGTCTTATTTGTGAAAATTAAATACTTTATATCCTCTTTTTTTTTTTTTCCAGGCAGAAGAAATAGAGCCATATTTGGACAGTCTTAAAGAAAAAAGAGGCTTGTCTGGGAAATATCAAACATCATCAAAATTGTTTCAAAACTGTAGTGAACTTTTTAAAACACAGGTAATCTTTGAAAGTTGTTAGAGGCAAATAGAAGAGGTATAAAATGTAATATCTGTATTTTTTTATATCCATGTTCCACTTCCCAGTTGTTTCTTCTTCTTCTAATAGATGTATACATAGCCATTTACATTCTCATCAGAGAAAAGGTGTGCTTTCTTTTGTGTATAAAAAGTAACAGTCAGGACCAGCAGTTAGCGTAATGGCTATGTCGCTGAACTCCCATGTAGTCGAACTCCCATGTAGTCCCGGTTCACAGACCCGGTGGCTTAAACTCATGCTGGGCGCATGTGCGTGCGTGCCCAAGATCCCGAGAGGAGAATGGAGGAGAAGGGATTGTGGCGTGGCCATCCCCCCTGGGGGGGGGATTTCTAACTTTCTATCTCTCTGTCTCTCTCTGTCTTCCTGGTGAACACATGCGCCCTATAGCAAAAACCTCCAAAAAAAAAAAAAAATAGGGCAACAATCCTTCCAATTTCTTTAAAAAAAATTATGGTAAGATATACGTACAATAAAATACAAATTTTAGTCATTTTAAAATGTGTATCAGTGGCGTTAACGGCATTCAGATTGTTATATAGCCATCACTGATACCTGTCTCCAGAACTTTATTTATCCCAGACACTGGCACTAATGCCAGGTTTTTGGAAGAAAAAAAAATTATTTTTTAAAGAATTACTGTATTTAACTTTATTTATTTTTATTATTATTATTTAATTTGATCAGAGAGAGAGGGAGAGGGAAAGCGAGAATGCAAGCTGCCAGGCCTGAGTTTTGAATCCTGGTCAGCCATGTGGGAATCCGATGCCCTTAACCACCATGCCACCTGCCAGCCCTGAAAGAAAATATTTATAGGTATTGGGACCAGCAGATGGCTGTACTCCCACGTAGTTGACCACAGTTTGAGTCCTGGACCTGGTTGGTTAAACCTCACACTGGGCACGTGTGCATATGCACCGAAGATCCTGAGAGGAGAATAGAGGAGAAGGGATTGTGACGTGGCCATCCCTCCCCTTGGGGGGCAGGAGGGAGTGATTTCTTGCTTTCTATCTCTCCATCTTTCTCTGTCTGGTGAGTGCACATGCCCTATAGTAAAAATCGCTTTCTCAAAAAAAAAAAAAAATTAGAAATCGTTTCCTTAACTATATCCTTTCCCTTGTTCTTACCCCTTTTCTTTTCTTTTTGAGAGGTTATTTTGCTATAGGGTGTGTGTGCTAGCTGAAGAGAGAGACAGAAAGCATGAAATCACCTCCTGGGGGGTTGGCTATGCAGCAGATCCTTTTCCTCCATTCACATCTCTGGATTTTGGGTATGCACATGCACGTCCAGTGTAGTTTTTTTTTTTTTTAAGAGGTTTTTACTATAGGGCACGTGCGCTCACCAGACAGAGACAGAGAGACAGAAAGTGAGAAATCACCCCCCAGGGGTATGGCCATGCCGCAATCCCTTCTCCTCTTGGGATCTTGGGCACACACACACATGCGCCTGGCATGAGTTTAAGCCACTGGGTCCGGGACGCAAACCGTGGTCGACTATGTGGGAGTCCAGCGACATAGCCATTACGCTAACTGCTGGTCCCAACGCCCAGTGTAGTTTTAAGCCTGCAAGTTTAGAACTCAATTACAGTCGACTATGTGGGAGTCCAACAATGTTACCATTATGTCATCTGCTGGTCCCTGTTCTTACTCCGTTTAAGAATTACCTTAGAGGGACCAGCAGTTAGCGTAATGGCTATGTCGCTAGACTCCCACGTAGTCGACCACGGTTTGCGTCCCGGACCCAGTGGCTTAAACTCACGCCAGGCGCATGTGCGTGTGTGCCCAAGATCCCAAGAGGAGAAGGGATTGCGGCATGGCCATACCCCTGGGGGGTGATTTCTCGCTTTCTGTCTCTCTGTCTCTGTCTGGCGAGCGCACGCGCCCTAGAAGAAAAACCTCTTAAAAAAAAAAAAAGAATTACCTTAGAGGGCCTACCTCATCTCCTAGAACTTAAGGAAGCTGGCATGGTTTGAATCCTGGCCTGGATGCCAGTATTATTGCCTTGATAATAAAAGAAAATAGCTTTAAAATGGTGGAAAAATGGTGAGAAAAAAGCTAGAAGCAGTCCAGTGTTGAGTAACTTACTGAGTAGCTTGGATGGTTTTTCATGTTTATCTCCCAGACTAGAAGGATTGGTTGGTCTTAGATTTGATTTTGGAGAACTATCTGTTGAATCCTGTTACCCCAGGTTCACTACTTTTAGGTCCGCTATGATTTTGCCAGAGTCTTGGCATGTCCTGTTAGTCAGGTTTCCTCTCCTGTCTAAGATAACATTTGAACCAGTCTAATTATACAAGAAAGAGAATGCTTCATCTGCTCAAAACTGGTAAGACTTGTCATTAGCGTAGTTTTTTTTTTTTACAGCTATGGAGTGTGGGCTGGTGAAAGAAACAGTGAAGATCCGTCATTCAGGGGTCTTAGGTTCAAATCCCATTTCTTTTTTTTCTTTTCTTTTCTTTTCTTTCTTTTTTTTTTTTTTGAGAGGTTTTCGCTATAGGACGCGTGTGCTCGCCAGAAAGAGAGAGACAGAGACAGAAAGTAAGAAATCACCCCCCCCCCCAGGGGGATGGCCATGCCGCAGTCCCTTCTCCTCCATTTTCCTCTTGGGATCTTGGGCATGCATGGACACACGCCCAGCGTGAATTTGAGCCACCGGATCCGAGACTCAAACCACGGTCAACTACATGGGAGTCCAGCGACATAGCCATTACACTAACTGCTGGTCCCTCAAATCCTGTTTCTGTATGTAAAGTTTTAAAGCTTTAAGCTTCATTTCCTTCTTCTGTAGAATGAAAAAGGAATTTTCTAAGGTCCTCTAGCTTGAGCATATGTTGTATCTAAAGTTTTGTCATTCTCATATGTTTGTTATTATTATAGAAAGGTCAAGTGGCCATTTTGCTTTGGTACTGTTTTTAGTTGTAAGCAGAGTTATAGTTGTTGTTAACTGGAAATCTTTTGCCTGGTGATACTACAGTGTTATATTTATTGTAATAGTATTATGTTTACTTTAATCATTTCTGTGTATTTTGAGCTTCACTTTTACTATTTTTGTATCTTTATTCTTAGTTTTATCTTTTTTTTCCATAGAGCTTTTCTGGGGATGTGCATCGATTGCCTCTTTTAGGAGAAAAGCAGGAGGTAATTGTTTTCCTTATGTATTTATGAGAGTAAAGTAAAAATTTTGAAGTAACTTTGTTTTTCTTTTTCTTTCTTAATGTTTAAAGGCTAGGGAGAATGGAACAAATCTCACCTTTACTGGAGACAAAACTGTAAGTGTATTTGGGAACTTAGGACATTGAAACATATTTTAGTTTTCTTCTGTTCATGTATTTTTTTTTTTAGAGAATTATTTAACTTTATTTATTTATTTTGATCAGAGAGGGAGAGGGAGAGGGAGAGAGAGAGAGATGGAGAGAGAGGGAAAGTGAGAAAGCAAGCAAGCTGCCAGGTCTGGGACTCGAACCTTGGTTGGCCATGTGAGAGTCCAGCACCCTTAACCATCACGCCACTTGCTTGCCCTCTGTTTATGTATTTTTTATTGTTCTCTCAGCACGCAAACATTTAAAAGGAAATTTAAGGCCATAAGCTATACACCAAAATATTAATAATAGCCTTTTGGATAGTTGTGGTTTTATTTTCTTGTTTGTATTTTCTGTACTTAGTGTACTTTTTACAATAAATCTGTATTGCGTTTGTAACTGTCCTCCCAATAAATATGGTAAACAATAAGAAACTAAAGATAAAAGAACCTTAAACTTCATCTAAAATTACCTGTGATATAATACAATTGAAAGAGATTTTGGAAAATGCAAATATGGTAAAAACAAACTAATAAATATGCCTTATATCTTCAAAAATGCACATTGTTTGCATGCTTTTTTCACTTTCTATTTTATACTAATTCCTCAAAACTTTGCCTGTTAAAAATGTTGAGGAAAGGAGGCCAGCAGATAGCATAGCAGTTATGTCGCTGGACTCCCGCATGGCTGACCACAGTTCGAGTTCCCCACCTGGTGGCTTGAAATTCACAGCACGCACGTGTGCGTGTGTACCCAAGATCCTGGGAGGAGGAAGGAGAAGGCATTGCGTTGTGGCCATCCCATCTTGGGGGTGATTTCTTGCTTTCTGTCTCTGTCTTTCTCTGTGTCTCCAGCAAGCACGTGTGCCCTAATAGCAAAAATCTCTCTCAAAAAAAAAAAAAAGTTGTAGAAGTAAGTCATGATTTTTAAAAAGCTGATTAAATTTTTAAAATTTTATAATGACTGTATTGTGATACCTGTGACAGCATTTATCCATTTAAAACATACAATTTAGTGGTTTTTAGTACATTCACAAGTTGTGCAACAACTGTTATCTAATTTCAGAACTCCTCATCACTCTGAAACATAACCCCATACCTATAATCAGCTACTCCCTATTCCTTCCTTACCAAGCCTCTGGCAATCACTAATCTTTCTGTCCGTTTGGATTTGCCTATTCTAGACATTTTCTTTAAATGGAATCATACTGTACATGGCCTTGTGTCTAACTTCTTTCACAATTTACAGTTCTAACATTTACTTACGCAGAGCCTTAAGACAAGCCAGAGGTGAATGATCAGGGCTTTTGCTGCTCTTACCAGGGCCCGTGCACACTTCTGGGCGTGTGCACACAGTTTTGCACATACATGTGACCTGTAGGTTTCCAGGAATATTTTGGAACTTTCAAAGCCCCTATGGACATCTCACTCTCCAGTTTTTCTCTTTTGGATTTTTTCAGCCTCTTGGTAGCTCCCAGCTGGTTACTTCACATCAGGCAGCTGTAATCTTTAACAATTGCTGCTCAGTGCTTCTGACAAGTGCCCTGAGTACAGAGTTTTTTATACTGAGTGATCTCAGACAAGTCAGAGGAAGACAGGCCTTGATATTGGAGCTTTTTAGCCATCTGCCAATAACTCAGGTGATGGGTCTTTGGTGGACCTTCAAACCTGTTGTACTTTTCTCTGACTGCTGAGCTGTGATATTTCAAAGCTGTCATGTTTCAAGGGCTTTGGTTTCAAGGGGGTCGGGAGAGGGAAGTGGAATTATGGTGAATGAAAACATTACAAGCTTGCATTTTCTTTTAACTGTGATTCAACTGGGTTTGTTTTTTTTTTTTTTAAGAAACATTTTTTTGATTACTGTTAAGTCTTTAATTTTTCAAGTTTTAAAAAAGTGGGTTTTAATAGTTTTTGCCAGTGATCTTTTTGCTTTTATGGATGACTGCATTTTTATAGATTTCTCATTTTGCTGTTCCGAAACTATCCCTGCTTTTTTCACCTTGCTTTTACTTGTACAAATTATTTTCTTTCTGGTAGAGGTTTTTGCTTTAGGGTGTATGTGCTTGCCAGAGAGAGACAGAGCCAGTGAGAGGGAAAGTGAGAAATCACTCCCCCAGGAGGGATGACACACTGTAATCCCCTCTCTTCCGTTCTCCTCCAGGATCTTAGGCACACACGCACACACGCCCGGCATGAATTCCAAACTGCCAGGTCTGGGACTCATCTGCGGTAGGCAATGTGGGTGTACAGTGACATAACCCCTATGCCATCTGCTGGCCCCGGTATAAGAGAATTTTAAAAATTTTTGCCAGAGGGTATGTGTGCTCACCAGAGAGAGAGGGAAAGTGAGAAGGCACCCCCCACCATGGGGGATGGTCATGCCGCAATCCTGTCTCTTCCACTTTTCCCCATTTTTGGATTTTGGGCACACGTGTGCATGCAGCTGACATGTTTATCAAGCTACTGGGTCCGGGACTCAAACCACACAGTTGCTTGTAAGACCCAGCTGTCTTAACCACTACACCACCATGCCCTGTAGAGAATTTTAATCTGAAAATATTAGTCATGATCATCTTCGTTGCTTTTCTTTTTAAAAAATAAAAGATATCCATTGGTTTTCTTTCTTGTTATTAGTATGCATATATTCACTATAAAAGATTTAGAAAATAGTATATAAATGAAAATAAAATAATTCATAATATTACCACATACTGATATAGTATAAATGTAATTTCTAGTCTTTTGTCTATGTGTAATTTATCTGTAATTTACTTTAACAAGAGAATCTTATAGTATGTATCATATGGCAGCTTTTTTTTAGCTTAGCAATATAACATGGACATCTTCCCTGTTCAGTAAATGGTATGTTGCATGATTAAGTAATGGTTGCATAGTACGTTATTGTGTAAGTTTGTTGCAGTTTGTTAACAGAGTCTCTATTTTTGGACATTTATGTGTTTCATTATTTTCCAATTTTAAACTGTTGACTATTGTAGCTATATTATATGTTTTAATTTTTTTCTGATTTTAAAAATCTATGTCAGTTGAAGGTTTTTTTTAGAAAATTTTTTTTATTTAACTTTATTTATTTTTTATTTTAATTTGATCAGAGAGGGACAGAATGAGAGAGAGAGAGAGAAAGAAAGTGAGAAAGCAAGTCT